TTGGACACCATATACCCTTGAAAAAGGCCATTGGCCCTGAGCCCATTGCTCCTGGAATAGGACTACCCAACTACTTATCTGCTGTCTGACTGCCCCACTAGCTATCAAGCCGTCAGAAGGGAGTGACATTGCAGAAGATTCCGCTTCTCCAACCACACATTTAGGCTCACTTTCATACAGGGCAGAATCCATATCTTCTGACCTAGGCCCTCTTGACTGTCACTGATCTAGAAACCCAACATGAAAGCAAGAGTTCAGCTGTGCCTACCTGACCTGCTGGAGCGAGGCAATTTCTGTGGCCCAATCTGAGACGTGAACGATGAAAGATCTCCCAGATAGGGCCTAAAAAGCTGGCCTTGAGGGACCACATGCCTGTCACCAAAGCTGTACCTATGTCCAAAGAGGAGCCATCAAGTGCCCATAAGACAGGTATGGGTGGCACATACCCCAAAATACCAGAAAGCATCCTGACATAGAGTTCTTTGTTGACTGCTTGGATTTTGTACTAGCTTACCGTTTTTTCCTGGACTTCCAGTCAGAAATGCAAAAGCTAACCTTTCTGGAATCGGCATGGAAACTGACTCTTGTACTTCGGTCTCCTTTTAACTCAGCAGACGTTCATCTTGAGCCAGGAAGCCAAACGTGACTGCTATTCATTTCGGTTTCACCTTCTAAGATCAAGAACAATGCAGTGAGTTTGCCCTTGAAGGGCAGCATCGTCTAATGGTCATGTATCTGGCTAATCCCATGGACACCTTCCTGTTCAGGAGGGCATAATGTTGACATCTTGCAGGGACAACATGCTTCAATCCTGTAGAGCCAGCACTTGATTCAGTCACCATAAGGGAATACTCAAGCAGTCATCTGGAGGCACTTGAAATACTTTCAAAGCTTTGCTTCTAATTACAGGCATTTCACAAACCTTATAAAAGGAGAAATCAAAAACCTGGACAAAGGTCATCCTCATCTTCTTCTTGTTCAAAGACTGAAGAGGATTGATTGGCTTTAGAAGGCTCTGAGACCAGTTTTAATGGCCCTAAAAGGAAGACTAAACATTGCCAAAATAGATGGCTCTTGCTGAAGGTGAATTAAACAGTTCCTTTAGAGTGTATTGTAGCAATCGTGCGTACAAATATGAACGCAGACATCCATGTTGCTAAGGATCCTCCATCTTGTCATTCTCACTCCAAAATCAGCCCCCCTCCCTTTCTGTTTAGTGACATGTGGTCTGTGGGTGTGCTGAGTTCGGGAGTGCACAGGGCACGGCTGGATACCCTTGATGGTTGTAAACCCAATTAGCTGATGCCAGGGTGTCTGTCCCACTCTTGCTCTGTGGAAAATGAAGCAATTGGTTCTCTGCTTTTAAGGAGACACCCTGCTGGTGGACTAGAAAATAGGCTGTCAGGCCTGAGAGAGATAAGATGAAGAGATCTCCCTTTTAACATCAGGAACCAACTTTGGGAGAAAAGGCACCCTTTTGCTCAGGACCTTTGAAGCTGCTTAAACCAGTACTGGCAAGTATTCTACCTCTCTAAAGTTCTGTTATTGCTCTCTGTATTTGTGTATATATATATATATATATATATATATATATATTTATTTATTTTAATTTTTTTTTCTGTAAATATTTTTATTGCACCATTTTGACCTTTTTAGTAATAAACTCTATTTTCTGAAAAGTGTTGAACTGTTTCTAAAGCTCTTTAATGCAAACTAAGAATCCCTGTCTCTGAAGAGCACTACTGTGTGTGTTTTTACACTTTCGCTTATTCAAACATCGTGTTATTGCTAAGATTGGCGAGTTTCCTCCTACTTTGTACAAAAAGTTGGTGGTGGCAGTGTGAAGGGTTAATTGCGTAATTAACCTGACCCAGTAACAATCGCTCTCAGGCTGCGGTACATAGATGACAGCATGTGACAGCGCGGTTTTAGATCGGCTAGTCCTTCGGTCACAAGTGAGAAGAGCTGGGGGTCTGACACCGTATCCGTCATATGTATGACCACATGTTTCATTAATTGTGTCAACTTGGTCACCATTATCTTAATCACGGTCTGCTTGAATAAAGCAGGAATCATAAAGTCATGTTCATCCACATCTTCCACAACTTCTTTGGAAGTATCTGACAAGTTTTAATTTTGCATGAGAAGGTTCAGAGACTGCTCATTGGCAGAATACGTATTTGACCCCTTCATAAGGTGAGTAGAGCGTGAGGTGAGCAACTCCTTTAGAATGTATTGACCACATGTTAAATGAATGTGACAACCTGTTCGATGTCGACATCATTATCCCTGGTTGCTTGAACCAGCGGGGCTCATATAGTCAAGTTCATCCGTAGCTTTTTTGGAAGAGTCTGAAGAGGATCGTTTGTCTGGAAGGGTAGAAGACTGCTCATTGATAGAATAGGTAATCCTTTCACAGGGTGAGTGGAAACACTCCTTTTAGAGTGTATTAGCCTCATGTGGCAATCTGTAGCCTCATGTGACAACCTGTTAGGTGTTGTCCTCTTTATCCATTGTTGCTTGACAAAGCAGTATTCATGCAGTCATGTCTATCTGCATCGTCCTTTTTGGAAACTTTGAAGAAGACTGCTTCGCCTGGGAAGGCCAAGTGACTTCTCATTGACAGAGCAAATAACCCTTTCAAAGGGTGAGTGGAAACCACTCCTCTAGAGTGTAATGACAATGTCTTTTATTGAACATGACATCTTGTTTTGTATCATCATCTCTATGCTTAGTCGCTTGAACCAGCGGGATACATGCAGTCATGCTCATCCACATCTTCCTCTTTATAGAGTGAAAAGGGCTGTCTTGCTTGGGAAGGCTATGAGACCGTTCTTTGCCAGAGAATTTAACCCTTTCACAGGGTGAGTGTAAACAATGCCTTTCTAGTGTATTAAACCACTTGTTTAATGAACGTGACGACCTGTTAGGTGTCTTCATCTTTGGTTGCTTGAACAAAGCAAGATTCATACAATCATGTTTATCCGCATCTTCTTTTTTGAAGAGTCTGAAGAGGGCTGTTTTGCTTGGAAAAGCTCTGAGACTGCCCATTGCCAGAATATATAATCCTTTCACAGGGTTTTGACTGTTGCTTAACAAAGCAGCTCAAACGATAATTGAATGTAGTAGAAAATGGCTTGCTTACTAAGAAACCGTAAAGGGTTAACTACTGCTAGAGAAAGGCGAATACTGCAGCTTCCAGCTACAGTCCTGAGAGTCACCAGGTGGTAAATGAACCAAACCTTGCCCTGCCCGGGAGCAGGACATTATGAAAAAATTTTGTTCAGAAGAAAACAAAAAGGTAGGAATCTGCAACAAAATTACAATATTATTCTGCTCTGTACATAAACTACCCAAGGGAATTGTTGACAGCATAAAGACCTTCTCTTTTTTTTTTTTTTCTTTTTTTTTTTTGGCAGAAAATGTTAGAGTAGTTATCCACAGGTGACTCCTATACCTTCTTTGGGAATGCTGATTTTTGAGGGGGCTGGTATAATGGCACAATCATAAAGCAAACATGAGAAGCCACCAATAGGTAATGCCATGTATGAACAGTCTTAGTATTACTTTGTGCACCTGTTATGCAGAGTACTACCTGTGGCAGAGCTAAATATATACACATGGCATGGCTGTGGGGAGCAAGTCACAAAAATACCTAGCAATACAACATTCATTTGGATACAAAGCATTTTTAAATTGATCTCACCCAATCTCTGCTGTCTGACTGTAAACACTGGCACTGTGAGAGTGCATGTGCCTAGGGGAGACTCTGCTGACACCGCTGCCCACTTCACATGGACCCAGCGGACCTCACATACAGCTGTTGGCCATGATAAAAGCTGCCCTGAGGACCAGCAGCGGAGCTCCCTGGATTATGGGTCACTTAGCCATTGCACCAGGGACCGCGTTCAGCCTAAATCCACATGCATGGACAGATGGCCAGCCCTTCAGACTAGCCAAGTAGATGAGCACACCTAGGTCCTGTACATAGGAGGAAAAAGAGGATCGCCGTTGCTGCAGTTGGGCTCAAATTTTATTTAGGTCCTGGAAGCATGGGGGGGCAGGCAGGGTGGCCCATTCCCGATTGTGCTGGCATGGATCTGTCAGGGAAATTGTGACTAGCTGGGTTATCTGTCAGTACGTTACTCTTCTGAGTATTCCAGGCTACACCCTACCCACCATACGTATGGATATGTCTGCCTTAGTGCCAGTTTTTTTGCTTGAATAAAATTAATTGTTTTGGAGCTTGAGATTTGGTTTAAAACAAGATTTTACTAACCTCTGAAGCTACAGACACGGTGCAGCAGTTCATCCTTAAAGTTTATAGCAGTTGCACTCAAATCATTTTCTAAGCCAACTCAAAACCCTTGCCTGCAATGACTCAGCAGCTTAACTTAGCCTGCTCACCCTGGCAACAGTGACTTAGCAGCCTAGCTCCCTTCTTTCAGGGGCAGCTCAGCAGCCTTCCAACCACAGCCTAATCTCACATTTAAACAGTCTTTGCAGAACATGCATGGCTTCCCTAGCTGCTACCAGGAGCATCGGTGAGGTCAGGGCCAGGAAGGGAGAGCAGCTGCATCTGTCTGTCGTAGAAAAGCCATGACACTCCTCTTGAAGACACACATTAAATCAATAATATGGCCTTACAACACAAAAGACATATTTATAATAAACAGTGCAGCTTTACAAATGTGCTTAGTACTTGTTTTGGGACTCCAGTTTCCAGAAGCCAGTTGGTGAGACCAGTACATGACTGGAAACTTTCATTTTCTGTCTGCCTGAGTGGGGAGAAATTTGTTATTGGCTCCTATAGGGAACTGAATGGTTCCGAAATCCTGTATTCTTTTGTCCACACCTGACTTTGAATAAAATAAGAGACTGCAAAAGTATTATTTACTTTAGTTTTTAAATTTGCCCTTTCTGTTTTTATTTCAGTGCCTGTCATAACCCCTAGTTTGAAGATCGATCAAGAGAAACCAATAGAAGGAACAGAAGTTCACATGAAGTGTACGGTTGAGGTTGGAACAAGGCCTGTTACATACATCTGGCAGAGACACGCTGTTTTTGAGGGAACATTTAAAGTTCAGGAGGGCACAGACAACATGCTGGTCCTATCACCAGTTACCAGAACACACACCGGCTGGTACACCTGCACTGTGAGGAACGTGGTCAATGAAAAAATCAGTGGAAGATTGTCCCTGGATGTTGTATGTAAGTGAAGTCTTTGTTTACATACATTGTAATAGAATGTAATTTTGCATTCAGCCAGCTTACAGAGAGCCACATGGAAATCTGTATCGTCTCCACCAACTAACTCTGAAGAGCATAGCCGTGAACGGAAGCAAGCCAAGACCTAATAATTGCAGATGATCTCATCGTTTAACTTGCTTTGCCCCAGTTCAAAGATCTTGCATTCTTGGACTTTTGTAAAGCCTAACTCCAGCTTTGCTATCATTTTTAAATAGTTCTTTTGAACTAAGCAGTCTTGTGCAAACTGTTTCCTTCACTAAGAAATGCAGTTGCTGTTAGTGCTGTATAAATTGTATGTAGCATCAGATACATACAGTATACTGCACTGTGTTCTGGCAGCGGTACGGGGACTTCCCATCCCAGTCCCCGAACAATGAGATTGTGACATAATTCATAAAAATACAAGGTTTTCTTTAAATGGCTGAGCAGTCCTATTAGGGAGAACGGGATGGGACATCACCTTACCACTGCCGATACTCAGCACTCTATACTGTGTGTAGCTAATGCTACATATAGTTTATAAAGCACTGACGGCAGCCTTATTTCTCAGCAATACAAATGGCAACCATCCCAACCTATAACTGGCCTTTGCACCAAGGAGTACATGGAAGGGCAACAGACGCAAAAAAAAAAACAACAATCAAAAATTCCCCACTCAGTTGCCAGCCTGCAACATGCCGAATTCCCTAAACCATGTAAACTAAAATCATCAAATATAATAAATGTGAATGTGATTAAAATTTTAAAATATATCCTTAAATGCGTGAGATATCAAAATTATGAAATGGAAAATAAAGCTCAAATACTATTTATCAAGAAAAAACCATCGAAAGGTGAAAATTAAATCAATAAAAAATAAAAAAAATTTTTTTAATCAAACTGGGAAAATTCATGTAAAATCAATATAATAGGAAATCCACATAAAATGTGTCCATAAATATATATAAAGAGTCCTCTTTAACTGTTATTATAAAGGACCTGCTATAATGGGTGGATCAATAATTCTCTTTCAATGCGCTCACCTCCTTTTCAGCCTAATAGATTTTAGGTTAAAATGGCTTTTTGTTCTATATGAACAGATGAAATGCTCCTGCGCCAGAAATCTTTCTCAAATGATATAGCGTTGTAGTAATCTTATATTTCCACCTGGTGTCTGTCTCCCCAATGCACTGATCCCTGTGTGGGTTAGACAGAAGAGTACCCCTTCTTGGTAATCTGCTGCTTTTCCCCTGGCACGGTAAGTTGGCAAGTGAACCTATCCAATTGTTGACATTTGGACTTTGGAGGCTGGCTAACCACCCAAGCCCACCCACCCCCGAGGAAGGGGCAAGTCCCCCGAAACATGTTATCATGATTACCGGCTTCTCTCCTTTTTGGTTTGACATGGTTTGAGTGCTCTCCTAGGCTTCCAGTTTGCTCTCACCAGCTGTTGTTCGGGCGGTCTTCCGCCAGGTGTATGACATAACATCCTGTTCTGGGACATGTGACGTCTGGCAGACACGCCATCTCTGTGATCCCCACAGCCACCATGCACACATTCCTTCCACTGTCTTGAAGCTCCTGGTCTGAGCAACCTACTGTTGGGCTCTTGACCATGTGTTATCCTTAAGCTTTTGGGAATAATGTGCTTCTCCTCTCCACTGGCTTGGTGATGTATGAATCTGAGCACTCCTACAGGTAATGCTTTTTAACCCAGCATTAAAGTGAATTTGGATTTTGTCTTTTCCTGGGCTTTTAACTATATTGACTTTCACAGGGTTGGGAGCGTGCCTTTACTTGTTCTTTTGTCCCCTGAGGGGTTTAAAGCCTCTATCGCAGTTTGGGGGGGGCACTGAATGTGGCACTTGTAGCCTTCAGGTTCAGCCATGACCTGCTCTGGATTGTCTCCAATTCCAGGGATCCCTAGGCTGTGCAGGAAATGCTGTGAGGAATTTGTAGATTCAGTACCTGATGAAGTCCTATGATGTGACGTGATGTCATCACATTGCACTAGGAAGTTACTAGGACATACCAGGAGAGAGCAGCAGCATTTGATTTTCGTGTTATTGCCTAGCACAGTGGTCGGCAAGCCGCGGCTCGCGAGCCACATGCGGCTCTTTACACATTTTAATGCGGCTCTTCTGTGTGCCGGGCGCCCGCTCCCCTCCCTCCTCTCGGGCGGCCGCCCCAAAAGTCAGGACTCTGCAGCTAGCCCAGCAATGGGCAAACTACGGCCCGGCGGACCTTTTAATCCGGCCCGCGGAGCGTGGCAAACATTGGCTGTCAGGATGTAGGCGGGGCAGCGTGACGAACTCCTCTCCTCTCACAGTCCGCCCTGAAGACCGGAACGGCGCGGGAACACGGCGAGAGGAACGCGCGGAGCAAAGGTAAGTGAATTGACACAATATGGGGAATGAATTACTATAGGGGGGATGAATTACTATATGGGGGATGAATTACTATGGGGGATAAATTCCTATGGGGGATGAATTACTATATGGGGGATGAATTACTATGGGGGATGAATTACTATAGGGGGGATGAATTACTATAGGGGGGATGAATTACTATAGGGGGGATGAATTACTATGGGGGATGAATTACTATATGGGGGATGATGAATTTACTATATGGGGGATGAATTTACTATAGGGGGGATGAATTACTATGGGGGATGAATTACTATATGGGGGATGTATTTTCAGTTTTAAAAATGTGGCTCTCAAAATAAATTTCAATCGTGGTTTTGGCGAGATTTGGCTCAGTTGAAAAAAAAAGGTTGCCCACCACTGACCTAGCAGATTGGTGTTAAACAGTTGAAGGATATTTGAACACATTCTTATGCATAACCACATTATTATTATTATTATTATAATGTTCTTTATACCCGGGAGGATGGTTATTGTTTGTTGAATTATGTTTGCAGTCTCCACATATTTTATTTATGCGGGAAGAACATAAAGGTATGAATAAGCTGCTTCAGAGGTCGATTGCTCCTCATTTTTGGCAAGGCCTTTGTGTGTGGCTTGCATTTTTTTTTTTCTTCCTGACTTGGATTTAATTTTTTTCTTCCTGAATTTTTCCTAGTGATTCACTTGGATTTCAACCTGATTTCTGCCAGTTCCTCTGGAACACCCCTGGAATTTTGACAATGAATTGTCTAGCCCTACTCGTGTGTTTGCCTTCTCCTATGCTTCGGCTCTGCATGGCAATTTCCAAGTTAGCAGATTTCAACAGTACTGAGCCCTTTCTTGTCTTCATTAAAGACAATGTTGTTTTGGGGACTTTTTCCTTCCTAAGACATTGTCTTCTTTATTTACCTGGACCAGAAATTATTTTTGGTTTCTCTCTGTCCTGCTCTTGTACAACCTCTGGAAATTGTCCTTCCATTGGTTGGATGTGGTATTCATGATTATTTCTCAGTTGCTACATCCTTCTTGCTTGTTCGGCTCTCTGATAACAGGTTTGGGTGTAAGGATCTACAAGCTGTTCAGTGACCTTTGTCCAGCCCTATTTTCCCCTTTTTGTTACTTGGGTCTGTTGGGCATTTATTTGCTGTGTTGCCCACCCCTTAGTTGGACTGATTTTTGAACATTTCTTGGTTGAAGACTAAAAATCCTGTGCTGTATGACTAAGAACCAAGGGTTGCTGGGACTGAGACAGGTTTTATAGTGGATGTCCCTTCAGCTTTTTTTTTTTTTTTTTTTTTCTTTGCCCAATTTTGTGTCCAATCACCCAAAGGTAGCTGCTGTAACAATGTAGGGTAATGCTGTCAACTACTGCAGAAATGAACACTAGGGACATAGAACCTGAAGGCCAGCCCCCTAGAGGCAATAACCCTCAAACCTCACATCTTGCAAGTTACGCTTTGTGTCCTCAAAGGAATGGATGATTCCTTCTACCTCTGCTATATTTTTCAATTGATTTGGAAGATTTGTTATCAATGCTACTGGTAGAATCATTTTGTATATTGAAAATCCTGAAATTCTCTCCAGTTAACGAACAATCACAGGTTTTCCTGGTTTTTATACCAGTGTTCTCTGTGCGGTCTGAAGGCTGTGTTCCAGTAACTCAAAACTTCATTTTTCTTTGTGGAGTTCTCCTGACCAGAGCTGAGGCAGTGTTCACCTGTCTCTGGTCTCTGAAGACTCACCTGACATAAATGACTAGTAGAGGTCTTGGCTGTGCTTGGAATTAAATAAAAAAACAGAATAAATTTGTGCAATGCTAAAAAGTGCAAATTTAATCCGCCTCAATCCGTTAATGTGTGTTCAATTACAATTGTATAAATCTAAACAAAATAGTGTGTGTGTTGCGCTGATGTAAAAAAATAATTTATTATATCTCTTTTCCGGCAACCGTATGTGAAAGTGTATAACATCCATCTGATAAAAATCCTTATACAGAGTACCATTTATACATAGATCCATATATATATATATATATATATATATATATATATATATATTCTATTAAAATTATAGTCTCCTACCACTCCTGAACCGAAAATTAGAAAAAAAATCCAAAAAATTAGATCCTCCTGCTGGTGAGTGAGCCCACTTTCCCAGTGCCGTGCAGCTCTAGATCAATGTGCATCACCACTCTTGTGCTTTAAAGATGGACTTTCACCTTCCAATATTGACTTATTTGATTATAACAGGTCAATAAAAGCTTTGCCCTTCCTTGGGAATCAACGCAGGCGTTTCAGTGGTCTTTGAGTCCCCTTTTCTCTTCCGCTTCCCATATGAGGTATAGATGTCATACTAAACACTGCACCACTGCTGGCATTCTGCAGGATAAAGCAAAAGGGCGTCACCATACTGCAGTTCATTTAAAAAAAGTCAAATATTTTATTAAAAGATTGCACTCACATGTAAAACGGAACAACGGCTATAAAACCACAAAGGCCGTTCCTCCAGGTGAAAATGCTTAGCGTCCTGTAAAGTTTCCAATCCCCCAGCTCTAGCATCACCTTGCTGCTT